TGCCAAATCAAAGTTAGGAAACTCCTGGAGATTTTGGGGTGCAGCCTGGGGGGACATGGACTTCATTGGGGTACGATGCCACAGAATCCACACTCCAAAGCATCCATTTCCTCCAGAGGAACTGATCTGTAATTCCAGGGGATCCCCAGGTCCCACCTGGAGGCTAGCATCCATACTTGCTGGGCGAAAGCACTTCTGGCCCTGTCCACTCTCTGAAAACGCTTGTTGGGTCGCTCGCAGGAAAGGTGTTGGTGGTTACCACAGAGCCCACAGGCACCAAAGGAGGGGGAGGGGACATGTCATAGAGTTCAGCTGCCAGTGCCGCCATTTTCTCCAGGGGAATTGATCTCTGTTGTCTGGAGATCTGTGGTAATTCCAGGAGAACTCCAGGCCCCACCTGGAGGTTGGTAACTCTAACCAGGTGGCACATGGCACACTTTGGGAGTTGGCTTTGCAAATGTGGCTGCAGTCACAGACACAACATGTTTGATGGTGCATAATGCCATAGCATCCACCTTCCAAAGCAACCGTCTTCTCCAGGTGAGCTGATATCCGTCACCTCTGGTACAGAATGGAGGCTGTGTGTGTGTTACAGGCATATTTTCATCCATGTTAGCACAAATGCTTTGGTCCTCCCAACAGACCCTTAAGGGAGGGCAAGATTGTTATTTCTGCGTTAGAGGAGGGGAGGCCAAGAAAATGGCCGCAAAGGATAGACCCACGATCTGAAGTAGCTTTCGAAGCTCTTGAGCAAAATCGCTACATCAGTGAACGAGGTCCGCTGCTGATTTTGAAAATGAGAATGACCAGATCAAAATATGCTGTATTTATTTATTTAATCACCAGACCTCTCCTTGGCAGTCAAAGTCAAGATTTTTCTTTTATCCAGTGAACAGAGATCTCATGACTTTTATTGTATGCATCTCTCGAGACCTGGAACACACAATACTTGCTAAATATGAAATTTCATGGCATCCTGCCATTTGTCTTACCACTTTCCCAAAAGCCACATGCCAACATTTAAATGAATTAGTAGAGGCAGAAAAGGTAGCTGGGGTGCGGCTAGGCTTGCCAACCTCCAGGTGGGGCATGGAGATCCCCCAGAAGACGACAGAGACCATTTCCCCTGGAGGACAGGGCAGTTTCAGAGACTGGCGACTACAGCATTATATTGCCCTGTGCTCTCCCTCCTCCACAAACCCCACAGTCCCCAGGTCCCCCCTCAAAATCTCCAGGAATTTCCCAACCTGGAGTTGGCAACCCTAGGTGGGGCAGGCCATTCTCAACCGGCCCCCTTCCCAGCGTCAAGAGTTTGACGAAGACGGAACCACAAGTGAAACGTGTTTTTAAGCAGTGGTCAACATTTTTCAGACAAAGCATGCCCAATACGGGGACTTTCCGCCCTAATGGGCTACAACACCACCAAAGAGGCAGCTAACCAACCCCAGAAGACCTGGCTGCTGCCCAAAACCAAGAGCCCCACACAACATTTTGAACTGCTAGGTTTCTAGCAACATGAAAGAACAGCTTTAAAAACCGGGAGGCAGAATGGATAACCAAGAATAGGTGGAGGAGAAATAAATGGGCAGCGGTTGTGGGAAGCTGGAAGACAAGTTGGCAGGAAATAATCCACGGGATAGAGCTGGAAGAATATGTTGAGGAAAAGGGAACCATATTCTATGGAGCTGTGTACAATTCTGTGGAGGGGGGTGTATTTCAAAGGGTGGGGGGTAGGTGGAAAAGACAGACTCTGAAGCTACAAGAATGTGGCTGGAAGTTCTCCACAATGGTGGGTGGCGGCAGCAGTTTTATGAACAAAAAGGGGCAGTTTCAAGGTCTGTACGGAGCTCTGAGGGGGTGCTCCAAGGGTAGTTACAGAATACAGTACTGGGCAGCAACTCTCGGCTTCCAGAGACGGAAGGGGGAGTTGTAATTTTAAAGTTATAAGAAATCACTGGCTAGCAGGAAGTCATAAGAAGCAAAAAGCTGTCTACTAACATCAGGAAGAAAGCAGAAGTTTGCAAGTCTCAGAATAAGCAGGGACTGGGAGCCTTTAAAACAAAACTTACTTTTGAACAGGTAGTCGTATTCATCATCCTTGCCACGCATGGTGAAGTCGGCTGATCCCACAAAAACTGCTACAGCCTCCCCTATAAAATGTATGAGAGCACACCTGTGCCTCTATCCCAGGGCCCAAAAAAATAAAAGAGGATGACCTCACTACTCTGGGATTTCCTGGGTTTAGACCTGCTTCAGGTAGAACCGGCAGGGAAAGGCCTTAGAAAGCCTTTCTCTCGTGGCCAATGGGTTAGGTTGCTGCCCTCTTCTTTGGCTCTGATTGGCCTCTTGTTTTTGGGCCTGGAATTTCATAGGCTAATAGGCGAGGAGCTCACCTGGCTCAGGTAGGTGGGTGGGACATACCTCTTTGTTTCTTTTTTTAAAGGGCCAGAGTTTCATTCCTGGGGAGAAAAAGGTACAAAGCAGGGTGGGGTGGAAATGGTTCATTTCTGCAGATTTGTATATAAGCGGATCATGGTTGATGTCACTCCGATCAGATGTGTGGTGGCTGTTTTTAATACACGAGAAGCTTCTGAGTCCTTTGAAGGTATTTCACTGACACTGCAAAAAGTTTTTTTTAATCTACATTATGCAGTTTCAAAAGCCACATTCTTGAGTCTGGAATGCCCGTAGTGCGAATATTGCATATCTGTTTCTTTTCTTTTCTTTTTTAAACAATTTTATTAGGATATAGTAATAAGTAAAATTATATATCATATAACAAACTTTTCATATCCTTTCATCCAAATATCTCCCCCCCTTCTGACTTCCCACAGTGCTCAAACCTGTATTACATTCTTAAATTTTTTCTCCTTTTCCAATTCTTTAACAACATAATTCTTTCAGGTAATGTATCTTTTTATCTGTTTATCTATGTATGTTTAAATTTAATCTAAATGTCCATCCAACCTTAATGATTGTCAAAGCAAAATAGATTGTTTTTTACATCCCAGTATTTCTCCAAGTAGTCTTTAAAGTCTTTCCCATCTGCAAAAAAATCTTCTGTTTCTTGATTTTTAAGCTTTCTTGTCATTTTGTCCATCTCAACCATAAAAAGTAACTTTTTCAACCATTCCCAGATATTGGGAGTTCTTTCTTGCTTCCAACATTGAGCGTATGGCAGAGTGGAGGGCACATTCAGAGCGCTAAAGGTTTCCCCTGATTACTGAAGTCCTATGGTGTCCCTTTCATAGATTTCAGCATCACTTTATGGTTGCCAACCTCCCGGTGGGGCCTGGAACTCTCCCACAGCTGAAACTGTCTACAGATATGAGCTCCCCTGGAGGAAAGGGCACCTTTGGAGGACATCACATCTCTCCCTTCTCCAGCTTCCATCCTCCTCAAGCACTGCCCCCAAATCTCCAGGAATTGCCCAAGCCAGAGTTGGCAACCTTAGGTACTACCTACACTTTTTTTTTCAACCTAATCTCCACAGCCCCAAAGAGTAGAAAATTTACGGTACTGCATTGCTGGATGAGACCAGAGATCTTCTTACCCCAGCATTCTTCCTACCCCAATGTAAGAATATAAGAAGAGCCCCGCTGCATCAGAGCAGTGGTCCATTGAGTCCAGCATCTGGGCTCACACAGTGGTCAACCTGTTCCTCTGGAGGGCCAACAACAGGGCATAGAGGCCGAGGCCTTCCCCTGATGTTGCCTCCTGGCTCTGGGATTCAGAGGATTGGTGTCTCTGAATGTGGAGGTTCCCCTCAGTCACCATGGCTAGTAGCCAGTGATAGACTTATTCTCCATGAATCTATCTAATCGCCTTTTAAAGCTGTCTATGCCTGTGGCCATCACTACATCCTCTGGCAGCGAATTCCACATTTTAATCACTCTCCATGTAAGGTAGTATATCCTTTTGTCCGCCCTGAACCTACTGCCCATCAGCTTCATTGGATGCCCCCTGAGTTCTAGTATTTTGGGAGAGGGAGAAAAATTTCTCTTTGTGAACTCTTTCCACCCCAGGCATAATTTCATAAACCTCTATCATGTCGTCCCTTAATCATCTCTTTTCTAAACTGCAAAGTCCCAGACTTGTCAGCCTTTCCTCATAGGGAAGGTGCTCCAATCCCCTCATCATCCTGGTTGCCCTCCTCTGTACTTTTTCCAGCTCTGCAATGTTCTTTTTGAGATACGGAAACTGAACTGCACACAGTATTCCAAATAAGGCTGCACCATAGATCTATACAGGGGCATTACAATATCGGCCGTTTTATTCTCTATCTGCCAGATGTTCCTGGGAAGCTCACACACTAGCCTTAGCGGCAGTAGTCAGTTTCTGTTGTTTAACCCCGCCAGGGGTCATTTCCTGCAGGAGCGCACAGGAGCGGAGCTCCGGCAGTAAAGAGCCCAGGGGGCGGGAACATGCAACAAGCCCCACCCCCTGCTCCCAGCAGACCTCAGTCAGAGCAAGAAGCAGCCAGGTAAACTGCAGAGCCCCCCCCCCGGCCCCCCGGTCCAAAACAGTCCATTGGCACCTTTAAGACCAAGTTTTATTCATGTACAAGCTCTCCCTCCTCCGTGAGGGCAGATCTGCACGTCCCCCCCCCCAGTAACTAGCAATCCAAAACAGTCCAGTGGAGCCTGAGCGGTGGGTGTTGCCTTCCGACACACTTCCGCTGATGTCAGGGGGTGTGGCATATGCAAATAAGTTATGCTAATGAGCTCCTGCACCTCTTTTTCTACAAAATGACCCCTGAACCCCAGCATCTATTTAATTATTTATTTTGGGGAGTTTTATGCCACCTCTCCGGGGGAACCAGCTGGAGGCAGTTTACAAGATAACATAACGGAAATATACATTAAAAATTATACATTAAAACCAATGTGGGTTTACCCATTTGGTAGACAGATACAGACTTCTTGGACGTGCAGGTTCTGCATGTAACGTTGCCAGCTCTGGGCAGGAAAATTCCTGGAGATTTGGGAGGTGGAGCCTTGGGAGGGCGGGGTTTGGGGAGGGGCGGGACCTCAGCAGAGTATAATGCCATAGAGCCCACTTTCCAAAGCAGCCATTTTCTCCAGGGGAATTGATCTCTGTAACTGGGACTCCAGTCGTAATTACAGGAGATCTCCAGGTACCACCTGGTGACAGGCCACCATAAGCATGGCTAATAGTTATAGCTAGCCCAATCCTGAATGAATCTGCTTGATGAAAAAACAAACATAAATGTTTAAGCCTGAGTTATACATGATGTCTGCTGGCCACGTGGACCGTAAGTTAAATATGAGCAGCCAGTGTGATGCGGCGACAAAAAAGGCTAATGTGATCTTGGGGTGTATCAACAGAGGCATAGCATCCAAATCACCAGATGTCATAGTCCTGCTGTACACTGCATTGGTCAGGCCGTATCTGGAGCATAGTGTGCAGTTCTGGAGGCCTCACTTCAAAAAGGCTGTGGACAGGATGGAGAGAGTGTAGAGGTAGGGTTGCCAAGTGGAACTTACCTTGGCGGCGGGGGACTCCTGGGTGGATCCTGGAGCGCGCGCCGCACACACGTCACCAGGAAGTGTCGTTATGACGCCGGGCACACTGGGGGCGGGGCCACGACCATACAAGGGAAAACCATAGAGTTTTCCCCTGTATGGCTGTGGCCCCGCCCCCAGCATGCCCGGCATCATAACGTCACTTCCCTGTGACGTGCACGCTGGGGCGGGGTTCCCCCCAGGACCCGGTTCCCCGGCGTTGGGGAACGGGCCTCTGGGGTGGGGGGTTTTCCGCCCCTCGGGGGGATTTGGCAGCCCTACCTGGTGGTCCCGGTTGAGGGGAGACATGTTTGCTCTCTTTAAGTATTTGAAGGGTTGTCGTTTAGAGGAGGGCAGGGGGCTGTTCCTGTTGGCAGCAGAGGAGAGAACTCACAATAATGGGTTGAAATTAAGGACGGGAAGGTACTGGCTGGATATTAGGAAAATCTCTTTTACAGTCAGAGTTGTGCAGCAGTGGGATCAGCTGCCTAGGGAGGTGCTGAGCTCCCCCTCGCTGGCAGTCTTGAAGCAGCGGCTGGACAAACACTTGTCAGGGATGCTCTAGGCCAGTGGTTCTCAACCTTTCTAATGCCGCGACCCTTTAATACAGTTCCTCATGTTGTGGTGACCCCCCCAACCATAAAATTATTTTTGTTGCTACTTCATAACCGTAATTTTGCTACTATTATGAATCGTAATGTAAATGTCTGATATGCAGGATGTATTTTCATTGTTACAAATTGAACATAATTAAAGCATAGTGATTAATCACAAAAACAATAAGACCATCGAAAATTTGTGTTTTCCGATGGTCTTAGGCGACCCCTGGGAAAGGGTAGTTCGACCCCCAAAGGGGCCGCGACCCACAGGTTGAGAACCGCTGCTCTAGGCTGATCCTGCATTGAGCCAGGAGTTGGACTAGACGGCCTGTAAGACCCCTTCCAACTCTGTGATTCTATGATTATATTAAGTACTTACTTGTGCAGCGTTGCGCCTGTCTCCACTGAAATTCAACTGGGCCCACACATGAGTGTTGGGTTAGCAGGCCAGAACAGTGCCTGCTCAGCAAGGCCATAGCCGGGGAAGGCCAGCGGGTGGGGCAAACCAATGCTGCTCATTTGGGGTGTTGGTTTGCCCCACCAAAGGTTTCTTCTTATCTAGGGGAAGGAGGCATGTTTAATTTGCGACAGAACAAGAAGACTTGTGTCTAGAACAGGAAAATTACTGGTTTAAAAACAGAAAAAAGTGGTTGTGCTCCAAACTCTGCTCACCTGACCTTCCCAGTTCTGCCCACCCAAATTCTCCAGATGGCTCAAACTGGATTTTTAGCAAATGCTGTCATCAGCTATTTCTGGAGAAGGCTACTTCCAGTGACAGAAAGAACTTCCACTTGTTGAATGAATCCATGGAGCTAACTAGAGTTACCAATTCCAGGAGATTTGGGGGTGGACCCTGGAAAAGGCAGGGTTTGGGGAAAGGAAGGACCTCAGCAGGGGACAATGCCGTAGAGTCCACCCTCCAAAGCAGCCATTTTATCCAGGGGAGCTGATCTTTGTAGTCTAGAGATTGGTTATAATTCCAGGAGGTCTCCAGGACCCACCTGGGGGTTGGCAAGCCTAGATCCAACCAATTATCTTGCTAAATGATCCCGGGGGAAATGTCCCCTGAGGCTATAGTTATGCATATAGTTGCAAAGTCCTACCTG